ACATTACGTGCCCATTAGCAGATTTATAATTATTGTTCTATACATTTGCTTTTTAAATCACATAGGAAAAAATGAGTAAAGTACAATACAACTATCTTTAAATTTACCTATGTAGTTACATATACCCATGTTCTTTTATTCTTCATATGGCTTTTTACTACTGTCTAGTGTCTTTTTATTTCACCTTGAAGAACTTTTCAGCATTTCTTATGAGGCAGGTCTACTAACAATGAACTCCCTTGGTTTTTGTTTATCTGGGAATATTTTAATGTCATCTTCATTCCTGAAGGCCAGTTTTGCCAGATACAGAATTTTTGATTGACGTTTTTTCTTTCAATCTACTGCTTTCTGGCTTCAATGGTTTCTGATGAGAAATCACCTATTAATCTTATTCAGGATCACTTGTACACAATGAATCACTTCTCCGTTGCTGCTTTCGAGATTTTCTCTCTGTCTTTGGCTTTCAACAATTAAACTATTTAATGTGTCTCAATAGAGGTCTCTTTGACATTATCCTGCTTGGAGTTCATGAGTTTCTTAGATGTGTAGGTTCAAGTCTTTCATCAAATTTAGGAAGTTTGGGCCATTATTTCTTTGAATATTCTTCCTGATTCTTTCTCTCCCCCTTGTTCTCAAACTCCCATAATGCAAATATTGTTCTGCCTCATTGTATCACACAGGTCCCTTAGGCTCCATTCACTTTTCTTCATTCTTTTCTCTTTCAGCTCTTCAGATTCAACAATTTCACATATGATGATGAATCCCTCTAGTAAAATTTTTATATCAGTTCTTTTACTTTTCAGCTCTAGAACTCTTATTTACCTCTTTTTTTAAATTTCTAGTTCTTTATTGACATTCTTATTTTGTTCTTACAACATTTTCTTGAATTTATTATTTTTGTCCATGCTGTCCATTAGCTCTTTGAGCATATTTAAAATAACTGATTTAAAATCTTTGTTTATTAAGTTCAGTGTTTGGGCTTCCTCAAGAATTGTTTCTGTCACTTTTTTTCCTTTGAGTGGGCCATACTTCCCAGTTTCTTTGCATGCCTTGTGATTTTTTTTTGTTATTGAAAAACAGATATCCAAATATTAATGTGTATTGTAAACATGGTAACTTACAAAATCAGATTCTCCTTCTTCATGGGGGATTGCTTTCTTTAATTACTGAAGATTTAGCTTGTGTTTACACAGTGTTTTGACAAATATTTTCTTGAATACCAAGAGCTTAAAAACAAAACAAATAATGAAAATACTTCTCCTAGTCTTTGTAATCAAGTTCTGTGATGGGGCACTCCTTTAACACAGCAATGCCACATACAATTCTGCCCTGGCCTTCATTTCCAAGGAAATTCAAGGTCTTCTCAAGTCTTTCTTGAGTATAAGTACTTCCCTGGGCATGCATATAGCTAAATTATCCCATACACACTAGTGTTTCTAATTGCCCTAATTTCCCAAAGAAGTTCTCCTCCTAGCTTTTCCTCTGAGAACCTAGGTGGTCTATTACATGAATCAGCCATAATCTTTTTCCCCAGGCTTCTGCAGGGCTTTTCATCATTTGTCTTACAATGTTTTCAACCAATTTCCACTGCTTTTCCACCCTGAATAAGTTCTGAATTAGGTGAAACAGATCTGAGCACCTTGCATCCATCCTTCAAGAAGTTCCCAGGGAGGAGAGAATACACAAATACAGTAATTAGTGAATAAAGTCTGCTCTGCTCCCTCTGGAACCAGGGACCTCAGTCCCACACTGGGAATATGAGCTGCTCTCTTCAAACCAGTTGCCAAGCTGAGAAAAGTGCAGGGCACTGACAAGTAAAGATGCCACAAGCTTTCCCACTTCTTTTTAATTGCATTTTCCTTGGTTCAGCATTTGCTTGGTTGCTGTAAAGCACTATTTTCTGGCAAAGCTGGTTCTAACACTTTCTGCTTGTTTCTCAATGTTTCTATAGAGGAATGGGGTTGTGGAGCTGTCATTTTGTTGATGTTAGCCTAAATATTTATTTTTAAAGACCTGAAAACTCATACTATAGCAAAAACTGAAATTTACTAATGCAACTGTTATTTTTATACAATTTTAATTTGAGAAGATGCCTATAATGACTATTTCCAGAAATTTCTACAGAGATCCATGAACTAGATTGAGGTATTAAACTGCTAAAATGAAATACGAGAAGTCATATAAAATATTAACTTAAAGGATACAATTTCTAGATTTCTTTGAATACTGTGGCTACTATATCTCGTTTGCTGGCAATAGTGTATTATTCTTAACTAGCTCTTTTTCCTCCATAATGTGATTTTAGTTTTCTAAGACATATAATAGAAATAAATTCCATTGGTACAATTATTTGGAGTTACTTCTATGGAAATAAAAATATCAACATTTCAAGGGGGAATTTTGCACAAAAAAAAAAAATCGCATTCCACCAAAAACAACTTTTTAGGTGTTTCACCATTAGTTTGATAAACATTGTTAAGTAAACTGCAATTATTAAAACATTAAATTTTAGATCCATTAGAACTTCAAATTGAAATACTTTATGTAACTGCTTTTATAAACAGAATTCAAAAAACATATTCAAAATTATGGCAGTTATGAAATACATTTTAAAGACATTACCAATAAAATGCATGTATACCATTGTAAAACACGTCAGTTTTTACTAACAGAAGAGTGAAAAAAATCAAAAACCCTACAACTTGATTTATAGAATCAACAATTCAATCAATTGCTATGCTTTTGAGTAAAAAAGAAAAAAATAAGCCCAGGAAAATTCATAAATTATGAATAGGTCCATCACGAACCTTTTAAAACTTTATTATACACCTGGTAAATTGTTAGTTGACTAAAATTGTCATATTCTTCACAGCAGAACTCATCAGAAATCATTAGGTCATGAAATTAATTTACTAAGTGTCTCAAGGCCAACAGTTATTTAACATAACAGTATACATTAGAAAATATCAATGTGCAGTGTACATAAGGTTATGTATTGCTTCATAAAACTTTTATTTCTATTTTATGTATATATAAAAGCCATTCTCTTTCTACTGTACTACAACACCATTCCATCATAAGAAAGAGGCTAAAATAGAACACACCCCACTATACCACAGTCTTAAGCATAGCAAAGTATTACTCTCTACACTGCAATGAGGTTGCTATGCAATTACTTAATATAATGTAGTCACTTAAAAAATTATTTAAGGATGAAAAAAATTTAGATTGCTTTACTACTTCTGTTAGATTAGTACCTTATAGAAAACCAATTCATAATTCAGACACCATGTAAAGCTGAAGCAAATATCTGATCTATCATAAATTAATGGGTTCCAAAATACCTCACATTCTAGGAAAGATGTACATAATTAGTCTTAAAGTTGTAAATATTAGATAAATTCATAATGTTTGACTAGCAATATTAAGTCTTGCTCCTTAAAGAACTTTCTAGTTTCTCACTATTTCAACCATAAGTATGATCTTATTCTTTAGAAATACCCTTAGCAGTCTGCTCAACTGGTATCTAATTTGTATTATATCAAATTAAATATGTAACAGATTTAATCTATTTCTTAATATACAGACTTTTAAAATGTTTCACTGTGAAGTATAATTTACTGAAAATTTTCCATCATGCAAAAAATCATGCCATACCCGTAAAGTTTATAATTTCCCCATTAAAGATTAATTTGTTTTAGTGGGCTTAAGAACTTCATAAAATGCTATGCTAGTGAAAAGTCCTGTACATAAAAGAAATGAATAAGACTGTTATGGCACAATTTGCTTTTGCAGACAAAATAGATTCCCTTATATACTATAGCATTCTTAATATATAAATTGGACTGACTCACCCACTACTATTCAGGACAGAGTCTTTATAAATTCCTAACACTGAAGTTTCAGTTAATTCATATGTAGTTTTTAAATTTAGAAATCTTCACTTTATTTCTAACTTCATCTCAGATCAGATTGAAATCTAGGACTTTCCTGATACACTGGTTTTGGAGAAGTGTTTGGACTGCACTCCAATTCAAAATTTAAACATTAATCCTGACAAAATTATTGAATGGAATTAATTAATTCTTTTGACAAATTTTTGCCAAGGATACTGTAAATGTGCATGGCCTCTGCCCTCATAAAGCAGGCTTCTCCATTCAAGGTCTATAAAAGTACAGTCTATTGGCCTGGAAATGTGAAAAGACAATAAAAACTTTGGAGAATTCAGGCTTCAATCCCAGCTCGATCATCTGTTAAATATTAGGCAAATTCTTCAATTTCTCTAAGTCTTAATTTCTACCTTTACAAAATGAGTTTAATATCAATTATTTTTCAAAAGTTATTTCAAAGGTTAAATGTAAAAATACAAAAAGTGCTTAGTACATATTACTAAATATTCAAAATATTCACAAATTCAGAGCCTAGCACATAGAATCCATTTGACATTAACTGGATGAACAATCCACTCTGAGACAAGAAACATTAAATACCATTGCCAAAGGAAGTGCATTAAACATAACATATATATACTATTTTTAATCCAACTATCATGCTAAATATAATTACCACCTTTTTCTTCATTTTATACTCTTTAACTTGGACTTCCATTTATGCTTTAAAACAGATATTTTAAAGCACGTAATCATGTCATCTAGTAACATAAAAGAGAAATTAAAACTTCATGCTGACCTGAGCTGCATACTGTAGTTACCTAAAGCAAAATTTGGTACAAAATTTAAGTAACGAAAGAAAAAATAAATAAAATGGCTGGTCACAGAAATTCAGGCACTCATTACAAAACATAACCAAGTTAATTTACCAATTGCAACAATGGTGCACAAGTCCACTAACCCAAACAAATATTCATGAGTAGATAAAAAAATATGACTTTTTTTAGTCTCTGAGCATTATTTTTAACATAACAATCTTTTTAAGTGTTGCTGTAAGAAACCATTTTAAGTTAACATGAGTTAAATCATTTCATAGATGCTGAAATTTACCTGTTTGAGTCCTTCATCAGTTAATTTGTCCTGGTTGCCTACATGAATTTTCTGAAGTAAAGGACAGTGAGAGGCAACCGCAATAATAGAGGTGTCAGAAAGCTGTTTACACCTGTAGGCTGTATACCTAAGTAGTCCAGGACACTTAAATGCTAGAACACATACGCCAGTATCAGACATACTGCGACAATCAGAAATGTTGATTTCAATTATATTTTGACTTCTTGATGCAATTTTTTCCAATAATTCATCAGTGACCTATGAGAGAAAACAAAACAATAAATTTAAACTTTTGCTAAATTGAGAAACCTATTTTCTATTATTTTATTAAATTTCCCCAATAAACAATATGATAATTAGATTATAGCATGAAAATCTTCCTACTTAATATTAAAGCATAACCAGAGCTGTGATATAATAAAAAATATATTTGGTCTTTGTCTCTGGTTCCTTGAACAGAGAGCTCCTAAAACCCTTGGAATTTCCTAAGTGATAGAAGTGTCTTTTGTTATCCATAACAAGCCTCTTTTGACTACATCTGAGTTTGTACTAATGAAATAAGATAGCTTCAGGATGGGAGTTGGTCACCAGAAAGACCAAACACCATGTGATTAGAGGGTGGAAACTTTAGGTCCTACTCCCTGACTTCCTGGGAGGGAAGGAGAAGTGGAGATTGGGTTATGAAAACTCTTGAATAACAAGATCTGAAGAGCTTCTGTGTTGGTGAACACGTCAAAATGCTGGGAGGGTGATGTACTCAGAGAAAGTATAGCAGTTCCATACTCTATCCCCCCAATACTGTGCCCTATACATCTTTTCCATTTGGCTGGTCCTGAGTTGTACCCTTTATAATTAACCAATATACATAAGTATTTCTGAGTTCTATAAGTCATTCTAGCAAATTATCAAACCTGAGGAAGGGGTTGGGGGAACTCCTGAATTTACAGCTGATCTGTCAGAAGTACAGTGGCTGCTAGCACTTGTGACTGGTATATGAAGTGGGAACAGTCTTATGGGACTTCATGAGCGCTTAACCTGTGAGGTCTGTACTAACTCTAAGAGTTTGTCAGAATTGACTGGAATTGGACAAAGTTGGTGTCAGAGAATGTTGTTAGAATGTAAAAAACTCCACACCTTTGGAGGCAGAGTGGTGTCAGAAAACACCAAGAAAGAATATATGTATTTGTTTCCATTAAAAGCCTAAAAATCTATCCTTATTAGGAAAACTTACTTTAATGAAACCTTCAAACTCAACAAAAACTCTCCACAAAATTATACTGAGATTTTGAATGTTTGTTCTCTATTTTTAAACCAGCAAATAATGTACATCAGTCATCATGATGTATGAATCTTGTCTTTTTACACTTAATATTAGATACCACAGGATATAAATTTCAATTGTTTTACTACTTCTATGAGAATATCACCTCACACATAACCCATAGCTTAGAAAACTGATATCATTTTGTGTTATCAGCACAACAAAGACTACATACAAATGTCCATATCAAATAAATTTTCTCAAAAGACTCAAAGCTAAAATTCCTTTGGTGAAAAACTCACAAAGCCATCTGAATTTTTAAAATAGTGTTTTAAAAAATCAACCTCTACTTATTCGCTGCCTAATAATCACATTTACAAAAGAAAAAAAAAAAAAACTCAGTTAATATTATTCAAGTCTTTTGAGTAAAAATAATGGCGAGATCTGGGGATATAAAGTACAGCATAGGGAATATAGCCAATAATATTTAATAACTATAAATGGCGTCGGGGGATATTAGACTTTTCGGGGGGATCATATCATTAGTTATATAAATGTCTAACCACTATGCTGTACACCTGAAACTAATATAATTAGTTATATTAATAAACTAATATAATTAGTTATAATTGAATGTCAATTGTAATTGAAAAATTTTTTAAATAATAACAATGGTGAGAGAAATGCACATGATAAAATCTAGAATGGAAAAAAGAAAGAATTGGAGTGTTCAGAAGCACTAGGAATAAGAGCCAAGGTTAAAACTATTATGTTTTTTGAGAAAGTACAAATGTAAACAGTTATCTTCTAAGCTAAAACTCTAACATAATCTCCTCTTTTTATTTATTTTTCATCTCCAACCCTAACTCTCAGCAGAAGGAAAAAGCTATTTTTAGTCTGAGTTTGTAACAAATAACTCAAACATCCAAGAGTACTGAAGTAAAAAGGGCCAGTGGATCATTTCACATTACTTCTCTCCACTCTACCTATCACATCTAAGTAATTACTCGCCATTCTCCCTGGACACGAATTTCATGAACTCAGAAAGGTAAACTGGCTCACTTTTTTTTAAAGTGTGTATGTTATACATACACATACACACACACACACACACACACACACTCACACACACGTAGTATGTTGGAGTTGGCTTATACCAACTCACAAAACCTATAGCGTGTACCTCTTTCCAAATCAGTGACATCACTGCAGTCAGTGACATCACATTGGTAGCCTGAAATTAGCCACAGTGGGAATAACTGTACCATAAAAACTGGCAAATATTACAAATCAGAGCTTTTTATGTGTTCATTTGTTTTTGAAAGCCAGTTGTTAAACATTTACCAGCAAACCACTACTAACAATATCAAGAAGGATTTAGAGCAGTTTTAGTACTCTAATAAAATCTTATTCTTATTGGATATTTTTTATATATTTTCAATGCCAAGTACTGATAACCAAGTTTAAAGGAAGAATTGTAAATTGTTTTCAATATGCACTATTAACTATATCTTTTTTCCTAATTTATGCTACCATATAAACATACTGGCAGCCAGGCAATGGAGAAGTTTAGAAAATTCAGCAAAAGGAATATTAAAACAAAATAAGTTATCCTAGCCTATTTTGCTTCCATTTCTTCATCTATAATATGAAGAAATTATAGAAATATGGGGAGGACAAAATGAATTAATATGTATAAAGCCACAGAACAGTACATGGCACATCAGGAGTACTGTATAAACATATGCCATCATTTTCTACTATTAAACTAACATTCATAATATTGACCCCTCCAAAAAGGGAAAAGTTTAATTTTTTATAAAAGGTAATAAAAAAGTGGGAAGACAAACAGGAATAAGACAAAGAGGATTAAGAAGCAAATCAAAATTACCAATCCACACTAAAAAAATATTTTTACCATAAGAATAATTTAAATTCACAAAAAAAATTACTAAAGCACAGAATTATAGATTATAGTTATTTGAACTACCTTGAGAAACTCTAACACAAAAGAAGTGATTCTGAAGAGAAATAAAGATTCTTTTAAATAGGTCAAATTGAGTGGTTCTTAGAATTAGATTCCATATACCTGCTGACGACTACTAAGATCCAGCTGTTTCCAAAACTGGAAATCTAAACAAAGGTCACGCCAGTACTTGCAAACCAACGATGCAGAAAGGCAACGCTCATCCAGGGATAAATTGGAAAATATCTGTGAATAAAAAAGAAACCATATAATACGTACTAAACATTTTAAAGGCATAGGAAATGGTTTTTGTTCATTAGAAAAAAATTAACTTTTTAAAGCAGAAAAACATCTTGAATATAAGCAGCCATTATTACAAGAGTCATTATTAGGATCTGCCCTAACAGAAGAGTCATTGTTAGGAAGTATGATATGGCAGAAAAGAAATGGTCTAATGTTATCTTGTAAGAAGAACAGAATAAAAGAGCAGGGGAATACGTGTGTGTGTTTCCCAATATTAAAAAAGAAAAATTAAAAGGATAAGCCAAAAACTAATTTAAAACATACTCATCTTTAGGAGAAGGGAAAAGAGAGTAGGAAGGGGAAATGTATGAAAATGAAACTACTTTGAAAGTACTTAGTTTCATAGTTTTAACCTTAGAACCAGATGAACTTTTTACATAATATTTTAGATAAAAATGTCATAGAAAGAACATTTTACCTCTATGGCATTTTCTCCAGAAATTCATAAACTCAATCTAATTCCAGGACAAGTATCATATACACCAACTGTAGGACTTCCTAAAAACTACATGATCATGATTCCTCAAAAAATTCAAGGTCATGAAAAACAAGGAAAGGCTGAGAAACTATCACAGACAAGAGGAAAATAAGGAAGAATGACAACTAATACAGTCTTGAATCGGAAAAAGGCCATTAACAGAAAAACTGGACCAATACTGACTCCGCCAGTTTGGCAAATATATGATAGAACATAAGATAATCAATTTAGGGGAAATCAAAAGTGGGTGAGGAATATATGGGGGCTCTGTACTATCTGTGCAACTTTTCTAAAACTATTTCAAAATAAAAAGCTTATTTTAATAGAGTTTTAAAAAGTAAAAATTATAAAAAGATGGTTAAGATCAGAGTTAAGACCAATACAGAGTTTTAAAAAGAGATATATCAACAAATACAATGTGTGGACCATATTGGGGTCCTGAATTGAACCTACCATAAGATACTTCTGAGACAATCAGATAAAACTGAACATAAAAAGGATATTAAATGATTTAAAGGAAATTATTCCTCATTTTTTAGGTTGCAATTATATTGTGTCACATTCACGCTGTGGTTTTATTATTTTTTTAAAGCTATTATCCGCTTTAGATAAACTTTAGTGTTTATGGCTAAAATGATACATCTAGAATTTGCTTTCCGATAATTTACCAAAAACAAAAAAAGTTGGCAAAAGAAATATAAAATAGACAGAATATTGAAAGTTATTGAAATTGGTTTGAATAATACATGGGGAGTTCATTATTTTCTACTTTGGTTTACATATGAAAATTTACAAAATATTAAGTGAAAATTTTAACAAGAATATGTGTTCTACACCAAATTGTTTTATCCTAGATTTAAATCATGGCTTTACCATTTATAATCTATGCAACCTTGGGGAAATTACCTAACTTCTATCTCAATTTCTTTATTTCTAAAATAGAGATAATATAGTCTTTATCTAACAAAGTTATTGTGAGGACTAAAGGATTATGCATAAAGTTTTCATAACAGTGTCTAGAACAGAGTTAATAGTATACAAATGATTCCTATCATAACTATGACCTAAAATGATTTATCTCTGTGCAATCAAATGCAGAAATCTAAGACAGAATCTCCACTATGTTTAAATTTTGAGCCTTGGGAAAACAACTGCCAACTACTGTTGCTCCTCCAATGGTTGAGTGAGAAGTAAAAAAATATACGTAAGAATCCCCAGCAAAGATGTAGTTACGCTCACTACATCCTTTCACTTCCACTGATGACAATTAAAATCTCTGGACAACATACTAAAAGCAGTTACCTCAGGACTCTAAAAGGTTAATAACATAAGGATTGGAGAGTTGAGCCAAAACTTAAAGAATGAGTAATAACAGGAATAAGTTTCCGGTGTTTTTTTTCCCCTTTTATCTACCAGTGTGGAACTGAGGATGGCCCCTGTACAGAACTGCACAGCAGGCATAGCTGTCTTTCTGGACAGAGGACTAGAAATGGCCTTCTGTGAAACAGAGAATGTGAGAAGAGTCTTCACTTTGGATTTTCTTTTCTTTCCCTTTTCCCCCTACTGGCCATGTTCCAAATGCAGCCTCAGCCACAGAGTTGCAATGTAGCAGCTGTGCAGGCACCTAAAATCCCAAGAGTAAACCCATCATTTTGACCAGAAAAAAAACAAGAAAGAGAATCCAGGGACCAAACAGCAAAGAACTTCCATTACCTTTTTCTTACCACTTCATCATGAAAACAGCCTGAGTTCTACAAACTATACAGCAGCACAGGTATATAACACAGGCTGTAACTCTGAGAGAAACTTCATCTTTCTAGCCAGAGAACCAGTAAAAGGGACCTCTAGGTCAAAGAGTATAAAAGAAGGATAAACAAGAGATCATAGAAAGAGCATCTCTAATTCTGTGTATGAAGTAACAAAAAACCTGAGTTAATCACAAAGCTGCACATGTACAGAAGAAACCCAAAGTAGCCCAACGATGTCACTGAAAACTGAGCTAACACTGAAATCACAGGCCAAAAGAAGTAAGATAGAAATTTTAGTCTAAATGTAACATTGCCAATCCCTGGCAAATCTGATAAAGCTAGACATTCCTAAAACTCAATGAATCCCAACAGAACTAATTCAAAGAGAGCCACACTAAGACACATCATAATCAAGTTGTCAGAAGACAAAGCAAACTCTGAAAGCAGCAAGAGAAAAGCAACTCATCATGTATAAAAGATCCTCAATAAAATTAACAACTGATTTTTCATCAGAAGCCATGTAGGCGAACAAGCAATGGAATAACATATTTAAAGTGCTGAAAGAAAAACTGTCAACCAAGAATTCTGTATCTGGTAAAACTACCCTCTAAAAATGAAGGCGAAATTAAGATATTTCCAGATAAAGAAAAACTGAGGGAGTCTGTCACTAGTAGACCTGCCCTATAAGAAATGCTAAAGGGAGTAGCATGAAACCACATGAAGAAACAAAGAACACCAATAAAGACAGGTAATTATGTAGATAAGTATAAAATTCAGTATTAATATATTTTGGGCTTGTACTCCTTTTTTCTACATGAATGAAAAGACAACTACATAAAATAATTATAAATCTATGTTAATGGGTACAAAACATATACAAGTATAATTTATGAAAATAACAGTATAAATATAAAAAAATTTTTATGTACCATTGAAATTAAATTGGTATTTGTAGTGTAAGTGCCTGACATTAAGCTTTTCTGACTGAGGTATGTCTGACATTAAGCTTTTGATTGCCCAGATATCTATCTCAAGACATCAATCTTGAATATACATGTTGCCAGCTATATAACACAGCTATTAGCAAAACAATCAGATAAAGAACTAGGCTACCACCACTCATATAGGTCCCTCTTTCACAAAACCCTGGGTAACCTAGATAACTGACCACTTGTGTGACCCCATTTCTCCTTTCCTGTGCCCTAATTCTTGCTCTTATGCTTTAAATTAGCCAATAAAAAGTAAACCCATAAAACCCTAGGCATGTCATATGCCCTCCAGGATCTGAGAGTAATAAATCTTGTTTTTCAAAGTTCCCTGATGGTTCATTGCTAAAGTGTGTCCTACAATCAAAATTAGAACCAAAAGAGCAGGCCAGGCTGGGGGTAAATGTCTCTGGAGCTCACTAGGAGTGATGTGTGCTTGGGCAAGCACTGCAGGCATTTCTAACCAAGAGCATTACCATTAAGAGGCTTCAGACCAACAGAACAATATTAATCAAAATGAGATTGCTATAAACGATGTTAATTATAAACCTCAGGGCAAATACTAAGAAAGCAACTAAATACAGTCATGCATCACTTAATGACAGAAATGCATTCTGAGAAATGCGTCATTAGCTGATTTGGTCATGTGAATATCAGAGTGCACTTACACAAACCTAGATGGCACAGCCTTTTAAACACCTAGGTTATATTGTATAGCCTATTGCTCCTAGGCTAAACTTGTACCACATGTTACTGTATGGAATACTCTAGGCGATTGTAACACAATGTATTTGTGGAAATCCACAATCTCTGTGTGGATTGGGAAGAATATATTCAGATTCAGCCTATTTTCAAGTTTGCACTGGTCCTTGACACACTCCCAAGTCTCAGCTGCACATATGCATAGTTTTACAGTAAGCCAGAAATAAAGGTAGAGAGCTTATCCTTTTATGGTTGTCTCATTTTCAAGGTCTGCCTATTAAATTCCTGGCTGGTCCCATACTCATCCCAACAGGCACCACAATCTAAGGCTTGCAAATATGTGTTTTTATCCTATTTGTTTTCTACCAAATTCATCACTTTTATTTGACAGATACAGGTTTTTACTCATTGCCCCAAACTGAGTTAGCTTCTCTGGCAGCAGAGCTGCTGGTTTTGCAAACTCTAGTTCTTGCTAAAAGTATGGAGGCAGGGGCCCACAGTAGGGGCCTCATGCAGGAATG